TCAAGCTGGCAAGATCTCCCAAGATCTTTTTGCGCTTGCAGGCCCTAATCGCCTCAGATCGGGCCCCCTTGGTGAGCTCTGTGTGGGTTTTGAGGTGGCGGTCCAGGCGGGTGGTTTCCTTCTTGCAGCCAGCAATGGGGCAGGTGCCCTTCCTTACATTAACCCTGCCGGATGCGATGGAGCGAAGGAGCTTTCTCTCCATCTCGTTGTTCACTTTGTGCATCAAACGCAGATGCTGGCTAAGCTGATGAAACCCTCTGAGGCACAGAGGGCAGTCCTCGACAGGCATGTCTTCTTTATATCTGTATCTTTCTTACGACGAGCACAGAGCCAAGATCAAGACTAAAGTCAGGGACACTGCGCGTGCAGGGGTCACTCATACCCTTCCGGATCCAATTTGCAGTCTATTTGATCCCACTTTCATTCTAATACATTAGAGTGCACTTACCAATCTATTTTTACACTTTCTAGTCTGTCTCCACGGAGAAAACAGGTAAGCAGGTGAGCATCCCAGTTGCAGCTTATTCAATGGGCGTTCTGTATGGGGTCCGTGGATGCATGTATTCACACATTATATATTACCACTTAATATTACTTTAATGAAACACCTTGACCGAACTTTAACCATTTATTGAACAATTTAAAAAACATTTCTTACGGAACATATTTTAAAATGAAAGGAGGAACTCTTTACATTAACATTAAAAACTATTTACATTAGCAGTCATTAAAAACACCTATAAAAACACACTTTTTATATTAAAACATTACTTTTTTTTTAAACAAAAGAAAATTTTAAAATAAATCGGTGAAAACAATCATAGGGAAGTCCTCCACCGGATCCATTAGGCCCTCTCCAAATTCCTCTGTAAAACAGACCATCAGGTTAGTCTACCATCAACTGCAACATTATAAGAAATGAGATTATAAACTGATTCTTACTCAGGAATTCTATCAATTCTGCATCCTCTGCAGGTGAGGCAGATGATGCCGTGGATGAGGCTGCAGCAGGTGGTGGGGACACCTCAGCTGGTGGGGACAACACTTCAAGAAGTGCGGCCCCCACCACCTGAGAGAGCATCCCCCACTTCTTGTGTTGGCGCAGCCCCCAGCCCAGATGGCGGGACCTGGACTTCTGGTGGTGCGGCCTCCACCAACTGGGGTGGGTAAGGCCCAATCTATATGGCCTGTTGGCCCCAAACCTGAGAGGGTGGGGCGCAGACCTGAAGAGCCACAGGGGTCTCCGGTGGTGCTGGCGGCGCCGGTGCTGCTGGTGGGGGCCCTGGCCTTGTGTGGTCCACTGGAGGGCCTTCTGCGGGTGGGGCTTCTACCCGGGGCTCCTCCTTCTCCTTATGAAGTCTCGTAGCCAGCGGGACCTTCGGGTCTGTGGCACGCAGTGCATCGATCTGCTTCATCGAAGCCCTCCACCTCATGGTGTGGAGAGCCTCCATGCATTTGGCCTTCTGAAACAGAAAATGTTTGTTAACGCTTAATTTACGAATACAAATAAAGATATTTCACATATTGTTAATTTAACGTATAACTGGTCAATACTTACCGAGAGGTCATTGTGAGAATTGGTCACATGCCGGTCACTGAATTTGAATGTATTGCCACATATTGGGCAGACCTCATTGCGTAGAAGCACTCTGGAACGGGCCAGTTTGATTAAAATTGCCTGTTCCTCCAGATTAAACACACAGTGTGTGATTCTTAAATGCTGGCGAATATTTGAATAATCCCTATTGCAAAGTGGGCAGCTCACCATCTTGAATGATCTGGAAAACACAGAAAGACATAAAACTGTATAATTTGCATAAGATAACTGACTCTCCACAAAGATATAATGTACATAATATTGAAACATCCCATGTGCAATTTATTTGACGGGAGGTTCATAATAGCTTGATGGACATATGTAAATAAAGTCAACAATTCAAAGAAAGGTGTCATTTTTTTACTGAAAACACCTCTACTGTGCTCAGGATAAGCAATGGAACCCAAAAATGTAAGATATTAGGCAAAATATTGTTCAATTTACATAAAAATTAATTGTAACTGAAAACATCCCATGTGCAATTTATTTGATGGGAGGTTCATAACAGCCTGATGGACATATGTAAATAAAGTCAACAATTCAAAGAAAGGAGCCATTTTTTACTGAAACGACCTCTACTGTACTCACCACACTCAACAGAATCCATTCATGTCCTTTTCGTGTCAAAATAGTGCAATCTTGGCCTAAAAATGAATGTTCACGTAACCCCTATGAAGGGCCTGCTAAATAAATTAGAAATGGGATGTTTCTTTGTGTTTGATTTAAAATAATAGTCATATTGGGGCCAGGGCCAGGGCCTAGGGGCTTCGAATGCTTGACCGTGGGACCCTCAAGTACACCGTGGAAAAGGGCCAAAGCTCTCAGCATAAAAAAAATCAGCAAAAATATTCAAGGAAAAATACAGACATGTGCTGGCCCCTTTTCTGACTTTTTGACCCCTAAAGGAGGTCGTAGGGTCACCAAACTTTTCCGCCCGATCGAGGGGGTCCCCTTGAGACAAAGATTTCGAATTTGGCATGATTGGAACTCTCCTAGTTGTTGCAGTTAAAACATCCCAATTCCAATGTATTCAGCAGTTTCGAGAACACACATAAATAAAATCTATTTTCCATATGTATGAGTGATATTGTTGATGAAACCACCTCTACTGTACTCACCACACTCAGCAGAATACATTCATGTCCTTTTCGTGCCAAAATAATGTAATATTTGCCTAAAAATGAATGTCGACGGAACCACTATAAAAGGCCTGCTAAATAAACTGTAAATGGGATGTTTCTTTATGTTTGATTTAAAATAACAGTCATATTACAAGATTTTTCATCCGTTTCTCTGTCTGCCATTGAAGTCGATGGGAGAGACCCAGAAACAGGCCCGATTTCAGTGAGACTCACGGCCGGACTTAAATGGCTTAAGAAGCGGCTAGGGCCCTCAAACTCGGGGGCCCGAACGAGGGGCCTAAGACGGTGGTGCGTGCCGAGTTTCGGGGTCCGGTGACCTTCCGTCTCCATACGGGAGACGTCTCGCTTCCCATTTAAGCGCGCAACTGTTTCGTGGACGCGCGGTCCCTTTTCGATCAGAGCGTCTTTGGCCGGAAGTCGTAAAACAGCCAGGGAGGGCGCCGGTGAGCGTTCGCGGGTCGGGGGCGCCTGCCCCCCGCCTTAGGGCCGCGTTCGGACGCGTTCCGTAAAAATAGTGGGTAAGCGGACAAATAGTGGGTTAGTGGGACACGGGGGGGGGCGGGGGCAAGTGGTGAAAGGTCGAGGTCAAAGTCGTTCCGGCACGATAGCGGGGAAATGGACAAATAGTGGGTTCGTGGGATCCTGGGGGGAGGGGCCCTAGCGGGGGTCCGCAGGGGTCGAGGCTGTTCCGCCATTTTAGCGGCCAAATGGACAAATAGTGGGTTCGTGGGACGAGGCCCTTGGCCCAGGGGACCAACCCATGTACCCTGGTAGAGAGATGGACAAATACCGACACTGTGGACGCACAGGCTCTAGGGTTAGAGCCCTGCACAGTCATTTCAAGGGGAGAATGGACAAATAGTAGGGTTTTGGGATCGACTACCCCATTTTGCCCCCCAAAATGATTGGAAACAGACCTTGAAAGGCTCCATGGACGGAGGGGTGGGGTCAACAGGTCGGTGTCGCCCCTACGGGTGTCCAAAACCCCCCTATTCCGGGGTCAGCAAATCGGAGCGTGCGGGGGGGTGAGGTAAGCAGAAACGTCCCAGTCCCCCTTTAGAAAACAGGCTAAAGGTATCCAAATTCACCCTGCGATCCATCCGGGGCACTATTGGTCCAATGGCAATTTTTTTGAATGGGCTTTTTTCCACGAACCCCCTATATGTACTACCTTATTAAAGTTAAAAAAGTGATGTAGCCAAGAGCAGTGAGAGATTTTCTCTCTTTTGTTTGATTATCATGAATGAGAGACAGCAGGAATATTAGACTGCTGTCACATTTAGAGCCCGGATCCAATATACTCTTACACACGTGTTTTCTTTCTCGGCTGTTTGCTTTCACTTAAGACCTAAATTGCTGTGTTTACGAGGATACTTGCAAAGACGAGCATTTTGACACATACAAGTGTGTGTGTTTAACTGTTCATGGCCTATAAAGCGGCAAAAATAACTGTTATTTTAGTAATGTTCAATACTCCCATGCTCTATGAGAAGCATCTTCAAGTGCGCGTGTCTCTCTGACAGCGTTCAGAAACAATCTCTCAGCGCACATATGGTGAAATTAGTTCTCTTTCAGCAGCTTAAAGTCACTTGTTTTAAAATTGTAATGCTTATAAATGCATGCAAATGATAAGTTTTCTTGACCACATTGCACAGCAACGTCACATGAGCATGTAACTTCGATAGAAAAGATGGTACAAAATCTCTACCTGTTGACAAATTTCTACCGGTTAATCGTGTCTACCGGTATTATATATTGCCCACCCTTAATGCAGGTTGTTGAGGAGAGATGATTTAATGGCCGGAATGGCCAAATTTTGCCTTTACTGTTACAAGCTATCAGATGTGAAATTTTCACCTAGATGATACAATTTCAAAAGAAATCTATATCTACAGAACTAAATATCATTGAGACTTGGTGTTGAGTACATTTGAACAGCTGTCATTTTTATTTATGAACGATGATTTTCATGGTCTTTGAAAACCTGGATATATGAGGGAGTTTTAAAGTGGGATTTGTACACCTGGAAAAACCATGGCAATTAAAATCCTAAACAGTCATAGATATTTTTATAATGATTATATACTGCACTGTACACACACAAAGCAATTTAGCACATTCAAACCTCACTCAGTATTCCTCAAGAAATGTACGCATCTAGTTTGTTGTGTCCTTTACTTGTTGTGTGTTATTAGCTCTGTGCTAGAGACCCTTGTTTGTCATTTAATGATAATAGTTCAGAGAAGTGGCTTTTCTTCCAGGGTGCACATCATGAAAGCTCTTCTGTAAATGAGTTAATCCGTTTCCTGCTCCGACCCACAAGTCCTGCCTCCTTTCAAATACCACAAGACCAATCAGAGATGACAGAAGACAGATTGGAAAATTCTCGCTCTGGAAATTTTCTGCTCGCTCCTTCGCCTGTAACGACCCGCCGCTATAGCGACACATCAGTGGGGCCGTCCTCTGAGACAAAGGGGGAGGAGTCTATCTCAATGACAAGGCAGGGGCGTCGGCTTTCTTTAAACCCCACCCCTCACCAGCCACCGTCCCCGTGTCAGGTCTGCTTATCCTTATTTCTGCTTGGGACATGTGCAGATAGAAGACATTCGCCCTGTTCTTTATTTCCAATTCCTCACGTCCCTGATGTCCGCAGAGGCTCCTTCAGTGAGACCTCTGACCTCTCCCAGCTTAACAAATCTCTGGAGAGCATCACGGGCCACAGACATCAGCCGGAGAGAGGGCAGTACCGGCCTGCCCGCAGCCACAGCGATGAGGGGCACACCCTGGAGCCACCTCATGATGCACTGACCTCCCGTCGCAGAGCCAGTTTTTGTGCTGGCGAGCGCTGTCTGGCTGATGCGGTAGGTGGAGGACACGGTGTCGCCTTGCTACTTTAGAGGAAATCTCTGGTTTTCTCCAGCCTTTGCAGTGGTTCTGCTGTTGCTCCCAGGTGCCTGTATGACTTCTAATCAGTCTAATATGCTCAGATGCATTCTTCTCCTTTGCACTTCCTCTCGGTGGCTGTAACCGTACTTACCTATCCTGCAGGTGTGGCTGTTCTCTTACAGAGGAGATCCCAACTGCCCGAAACCTACCCATTAACCACGCTTATGATATGCCTGATGTCATGCTGCTAACCTTCTTTATGAATCATGTTTTCATTCACTTAACCTGGTTGTTTGTGATTTGCATGCCTGCTATTACTCATTGTAGCATTTGTTGGTGTGTGCTGTTTTATTTAACAATCCAACATACTAAAGAATGGGCCAGATTTACCAACAATTTTAGCTTTAAAAAACTACTAAAGACTTGTGGTGAAAAAGTTGTAATGAAAAGGCGTGGACAAAGTTATTTTTGTGGCTGACCTTATTGCATATGCATTTGTAGGTGTTTCCCTTTCAGACACAAAGGGAACAGAGTATTCATGCAAGGTGATTTAGTAAGTTTCACGTTTAATTTATTTATAAAGCAGTTGACCAAAGTGCTGTGCAAAATTGTGTTAATCCATCAACCACATTAAAATAGACATTCACAGGACATTGAAAGCACAAGAATACAAATAGGTTTTTATAAGACTTTTAAACTCAGATACTGTAGTCACTGTTCTGATAATGACAAGTTATTCCTTAAGTTGAGTCCAACTACTGCAAACCCTGCATTGCAGTCTAGATCTGGGTACCCGAAGAAGATGACTGGTCTGTGATCTGAGTAATCTGACTGGGTTGTGTTCAGTAATCAACTCTGAAAGGTATCGAGGAGCAAGATTGTAAGTTAATTCTCTCTTGAAACCAACAATGAAGTGACTTAAACTGCAATTCATCGACTGGCCACTAGAGACTGGCTCCAAAAGGGAGTCAGTCCCATAGACCCCCCATGTTAAAATGCCCAACTTTACAGCAGAAAAAAATGTTTACAGCCTGGTACAGTTCTTTTACAAGTGGTTTTGGTCTATAGCTAATTTTGCCCTTCATGACAACTGTGAGGGGGTGATTTATTTTTGTAACTCATCCATTTAAATTATACTAAGCCTTAAAATTCTTCATAAGGGTGTGGCCACTTGAGTGACAGGAGGATTGCCACTGCTGTCACCACCGTTAAGACAGGCGGGTGTGGTTTCAGCAACCAGCTCCACGCACATCCAGCCTCTTTGGCCATTCTCAATCATCCAGGTGTGATGCATTGCCAAGATGGCGATGGCCGGCTCCGCCCACTTTGGGACTTCAAAAATGCTCTTCAGAAACCTACGGGTGATGTCATGGACACTACGTCCATGTTTTTATACAGTCTATGGATATGACACACCATATCTCCTAAATATAGAACCAAAAGGTAGCACGTACAGTGGAAACAGTAACAGTGCCAAAATTGAGCCCTAAAGGGACACCACATGTAACATGTAGTAAGGTTTGCGCTAGTCAGTTTAGAGGTATTTGCACCATTATTTAACACCCCCAAAAAGCATGCCTTATTTTGTGCCTGTGTTGTTAGTAGATTACCTGCACCTACTTATCAACCCTACGTTAGTTTGCACCGCTCTTGGTAGATTGCGGTCATTATCTAGATGAGCTGTGTTCTCTCATTTGTGCATTGTCAGAAGATCAACAGCAGAGCTTTCCATTCCAATCATTGCTTCTATGGGATTGTGGTCTAATGCGAATTTGCCCTGTTCTGTAAATCTGGCCTATAATTTGTGTTATGTAATAGAAGTGTACTGGTTCTCATTAGTTTGTTTCCTCTTCTGCAGTCTTCTGTTCTGAGAGTCCAAAGCCAGGCTGCACCTGATGCAGCTCAACACATGCAGACGTTCCCTCCTGTCTCCTCAGAGACCCCCACGCAGGCCGCCAGACAGAATCTGTCCACTCCCCTGCCGCTGGCGCTTCTGCAGGGTGTCTCGATCGCACCGCAAACCATAGATCAACAGCAGCTTGCACCTACAGGTCAGACTGCCGAGCTGAAAGCACAGGCCCACGTGCTCCAAACTGCAGCGTCGCATCAGCCATTCTCTGTGCCACAGAGTGCCGTGGGTCTGAGTTACCATCCTGCCGGGGCAGAGCTAACAAATGCACAGACATTTCCACCTGTGCAGCTCACTGCAGTCGCAGCTGCACACAGTCTCCCATCTAAAACAGAAGCAGCGCTGCCTGCAGATCAGAGCTTTCAGAGCGGAGCCTCCAGCGTGCAGCATATCCCACCAGCATCTGCACAGACTCGACAAACACCTGTGTTACACAATTTGCAGCAAATCACTGCGAATGCCACAACAGATGGGCAACTCCGAGACTTCTCAAACATGCAGCAAACTGCTCATGTGCAGCTGAGCCAGACAGGCCCTGCACCACCTGTCCCACAGGTATGCTTGTTTGTCATCTTATTTTTATTTTCTCAACTTTTACATGGACCCCTCTAGCACTATAACTCCCATTGGAGTGAACTTTGTGCTTTGTAACTTTGCAGATATTTTTCATGCACAAACAGCAGCATTACACACTAAAAGAAATAATGTAAATGTAAAAATGCATAGTAGGACCCCTTAAAGCCCGGGATACACTGCACGATTTTTGGCTGTCCAGACGAGAGATTAGCATCGGAAAACAGTCGTGGTGATTTCTATGATCGCAGCTCCTAATCGGTGGTCCTGTGTCGTACAGTGAGAGAGGTTCAAAGACAGACATTGTCACGGTCATGTGACCAAAGATAGCCTACGATAATTTTCTGACAGTGTCAGAAATTCAGCATGATCATTGTGTTTGCTGCTACGACCCACGTTTGCTGACCAGCCAATAAAAAATGTGACATGAAATCAACGCAACATGGAGCTAAAACCTAAAACTGCTAACCTCAAGCTCTTATCCCTTCCTCTTTCACCGCTTCCACTTTTTTCAGCACACATACAGTATAAACTACAATTGCCAAAGTGTGATTAGTCAGGCTTTTTGTTTACCACTAGTGCATGCTGATGACATTTTTATTCTTCAATAGTAACTTGCGTCGTAGCCTGTGTGTCAATTGGTGTCATCATCGTACAGTCTGTAGACATAATAATTCATTACATTTATATAGCGCTTTTTCTAGGCACTCAAAGTACTTTACATTGTCAGGGGGTATCTCCTCATCCACCACCAGTGTGCAGCATCCACCTGGATGATGCGACGGCAGCCATAGTTGCGCCAGAACGCCCACCACACACCAGCTTATTGGTGGAGAGGAGACATGGTAGACATGTCGTACCCGAGTTTATTAGATCCATGTCGCACAGTGTGATTTGCAATGATCTTGTAGGATTACTACAATTGTGCAGTCAACAGAAGGCTTTAAAGAAAAAAAAATGATGACTGACTAACTTGTAAGCTTAATCTAAGTTTATGTAACTGGCCATAGGGATGCCCAATCCTGTTCCAGGAGATCTACAGAATTCAGCTCCAATCCTGCCCCAACAGACATCTGTAATTAAGTTTTCCTAAAGATCTTAATGAGCTGCTTCAAATTTATTTTTTCAAGGTTTGGTCAAGTCTAGTCACAGTTGTTTTTCCTGAGTTCAGTCAAGTCACAACTGATATTCCTGAATCTAGTCAAGTCACAACTGATCTTCAGGAGTCAATTCACAGCTGATCTTCATGAGTCAAGTCAAGTCACAGCTGATCTTCCCAAGGAGGTCGTCTATGAACTTCCTGCCTGTCTTGTTCTGGCCAAGGAGGCCGCCTATGAACTCTCTGGCTATCCTGTCACAGCTATAGAGGTTGTTCGCGAACTCCCTGTTCGTCCTGTCATAGTTATAGAGGCCGTTTGCAAACTCCCTGCTCGTCCTGTCACAGCTCTAGAGGCCGTTTGCCTCATAAAATCCGCACTGGAGAGACTTGGTGTTGTTTCAAAATAAATATCATCAAAACATATATCGGCTATTGGCCAAAATTATTTGAAAAATATCGGCATATCGGATATCGGCAAAAATCTAATATCAAGCATCCCTGGTGATTTGTGTAGTTTTGTGTAAAAAGTCCAATGTACAAAGTGGCCACTTTTGACTGGCCAAATTTAGCATGCGTTTAGCTCTTCTGTTCATGATGGTGGTTATTCTTCCCATGCTACAATGCACTTTTGTCTCCTCCTCCAGTTTCCTTCCATTAACTCAGCTCAGTCAGTCAGGACCCCTCTTCCTGGATGTGACCCGTACCCCACCTGCTTTCCCTCTGTGCAGTCATCCCTCAGTCTGCCTGTCCTGACACACCCCAACATCTCGCCAATGTCATGTTCGCAGATGGAGATCTCAAGTCTGCTTTATTGTCAATTCTTCCACATGTACAGCACATACACACAGAGAATTGAAATTGCGTTACTCTCAGACCCTTGGTGCATACAGATAACATAAATACAGATAGGTACAGATTAAATAGAAAATACAAAAAACAACTATACAAATATACAAATAAGGTAAAATGTAAAAAAAAAAATATATATATATATATATATAAAGCACAAGACGAATACATACAAAAACACTGCGACTCACAAGACAAAAAACACGAAACCACCTTTCTGTCGGGAGAGAGAGAAGCCGCAGCGTGTGAACGCGCCGCCATCTTGGAGAATCTACTCTGCGCTAACCCAGTACCCCCACCTGTCCTCCACTTCTCTTATACCCACACGATGTCCCACTCCACCCTTTGCTGCTCCAGTGTTCGCGCCTCCAGTTCCCACAATTCACCAGTACCAGCAGGCCTATTCTGTTGCTCAGCAGCCCGCCATAAACTACATGGCCACTCTCTCCCAACATTCCCACAGTCAGGCCACACCCACAGTGCACCAAAGTCTCCACCCCTCTCCAAACCCCGCCTCTATGTGTGCCAGAGTCCCTCCCACTATACAAGCTCCGCCCACCCAGGTAGGGTATGTCAGTGTCTTAAAGGGATAGCTCGCACAAAACTTGGCACATTGAATGCTTACTTTTGAATCACAGTCACAATGGTTTTCAGAGGAAATATTAGGTTAGGTTAGGTTACTTTATTCATACCCGCAGGTAAATTTGTCTTGCAGTAAAATGACAGTGACATCCATCCATAACACAAATTCAAAAAACACATTTAAAAATATAACACAACAGATAACAAAAATATGATACAAGATACATGATATACATTCTTCAAGGCTCCCCCATCCTACAGCTTATTTAACACAGTTAAAACAGCGGGAACAAAGCTGTTTTTATATCGCTTTGTTTTACACCTTGGGATTAAAAACCTCTGCCCAGAGGGAAGAAGCCGAAACTCACTGTGCAGAGGGTGGGAGTCATCATTTAAAATAGAAGTAGACATTCGTTGAAACCGTCTGGTATACAATGATGTTGGATCCAACTGTGACTCACCCACCAATCGACTAGACCATTTAACGATCTGGTTTAAAGAATTTCTCGCTTTTAAAGATGTTTGACCAAACCATACGACCAGAGAAAAAGACAAAACTGATTCAATAAAAACACGATCAAAATTTCAATATTTACCCACATACTAATTCGGTAGGGATGTCCTGATCAGGTTTTTTTGTGCCCCCGATCCGATCTGAGTCATTGAATATTGAGTATCTGCCGATACTGAGTCCCAATCCGATACTTGTAAATTTCTAGTGTTTGGTGTACAATTCAAGTACATTAAAGTTATTAAAATCAATCAATTTATACCGAGTTGCGCAGACAGTAAAATTAATATAAGTATGTATATGTAATATAATATAATAACATACACTCTCTCTCTATGCACACACTATATAAAGACTTTGGTAGATGTAAACATGCTACAATTTTAAGCATTGTAAACAGATTGTGTTGTCACAATTATGAATATGGGACTGATGATATAAACTTCTTGTATATTATATGTACAATAAGCAGAATAATTACAACATAAGGTTAGAAAGCATGAAGTGTCAGAATGCCAGTCTATCAGTCAAATCCAAAACGGTTGGAAAACCCACCTAAAGGCGCACACCGCCACCTACTGCATGACCCTGGCATGACAGCCGATGTAAAATAAGGATCGGGCTTAGGAGAGCTGATAACGATAAGTTAAAAAAATGCTTGATCGGCCCGATCCTTGAGATCGGCTCGGGACATCCCTATAATTCAGTATTAATATTCAAATTCAAATTTTATGAATGTTTATCCAAAGGTCGTAGTTTCCCATTTTTTTAACTATAAATTTGAAATTTAATTGAAATTGAATGAGTCTTGTCTATTCATTTATTTAAAAAAAAAAATAAATCTTAAATTTTTCAGGGAGTCTTGACCAGCCATTCCCAAACTGTTCACGTGGACCAGAACTCGTCCAGTAGCTCCGATCACGTCCATGTTTCTCAGATGATGACACACCTGACTCTAGCTCCTGCCCCGAGCTCCAGCGCCAGCCATAATGCGCCTCAGCCTCCCGCAGTACCGCATCTCTCGCCCTTCAGACCCGTCCTCGACACATTCGGCTCTGCGGTGCCCGTGGACCCAAACCAGGCTACTCAGAACTCCAGCCCAGCCTCTTTACTCACCGTCCCGCATTCAGGAGCCGGTGCCAGCCTGAACCAGCAGAACAGCAGTGTAAAGCCAGCGCTGCAGCAGCAGCACAGCACCAGCGGATGTGGAGGAGCTCCCACTGACGTATGCTCTGAGGTGAAGCTCTTCTTCAAATGAAAATCCCATAATACAGCAACAACCTCGAAACACCATAAGTGATGTGTACAGTACATGCACTGGTCACTTGAAGGAAGTACCATTGCCGTTTACGACCATGTGATCATGAGTGGGGTGTTTTCACATTTTATTTTCAGAATCAAAATCAGAATTGGCTTTATTCGCCAATTGTGTGCAAACACACAAGGAAGTTGTTGTGGTTTTTTAGGAGCTCTTGGTACATGCATACATACATACATATGACATGAGAACAGAAAGAACATTTAAATAAGACTAAAGAAAAAACTAAAAATAAAGAATAATAATAATAATGTGTCATGAATGGAACAGAAGATTAATGTACAGATATGTGCATTATTTACTTGTATATACAGCTGTATAAATAAAAATATGAATATGAAGAGTTCAGAACAGTTCAGAAGCCTCAAAGTGCCATCTGAAATTTTCTTCTAAAATGAGAATTTTTATCAGACTCCTATGTTTTTGTTCAGTTATTTCACTTTAATGGCAATGAAAATAACCTATTCATTGCCATTAAAGTGAAATTACTGAACCTACATATAGAGTCTGTTAAAAATGCTCATTTTAGAAGAAAGTTTCAGATGGCACTTTGAGGCTTTTGCATCTGAACTCTTCATATGTATTTTCATAATATTTGAGAGAGAGGTAAATCAGAGGGTTTTTTCTTAACTAGAAGAACCTAAAACCCTCAAATTACTCTCTGCCAGGACTGTCAGCATAAATTATCCTTGCATATTTACATATTTTGATGTTCGTTGGACATGGCCAGACTGTAGGTACATTGTAATACATTTGAATTACAGGCATAAATTTGTTTTGTATCATCAGTCTTTACAACTATAAACAGTTTTGATGCTGCATTATCTAATATTGTGTTCAAAATGAAGTGGCAGGCAGTAATGCATAGATTTGTGTAGGGAGCATCAGGAGATAAGGTTTATTATGAATGTAATTCATTCATTGGTTTAGTCCAATTAATGGACTGTCTTACTAAGCTTTTGTGAGTGCTGTATATTTATATCTTTATGTTTAGCCTAGCAACACGTAAACAGCAATCTCTGTTGGAATCATGTGCCATTGCCGTTGAACTCATTGCCTTCTGTGCACTTTAGGAGCATGTTCCTGATAAACAGACGGCACCAGCTGGTTCCACGAATGACAGGTGTGTTTCTCTGTTCACAGAACAGTGCTGTATTCTTTTGTCATCTCGCACGCTTTCGGAGTTACAAACCTCATGCATGCAGAAGCTCAGTGATCGGATCTCTGCTCTTTTGCAGTATAAACTCAGATGCCACATCAGGTAAAGAGATGAGCGATGGGAACGAGGGCTCCGGCAGAGCTCGAAGTGAATCACGAGTGCGAAAACCCAATCGCAAAACGTCCCGCACGCGCTCCCGCCAAGACAAGATCAACAGACCCAAACTCACCATGATCAATGTGAGTCACAGATGAAGAATGTCCAAACATGATGTTTAGATGCTAGCTGTCAAAAATAAAGTGATTTGTGAAGCTTATAATTGTTTGAGTGTTTCACAGGTCAAAGCTCAGACATGAGTGCTGGTTTAGACATTAGAACACCTAAAATAATTTGAAAAACGTCTCTAGGTTACGTATGTAACCATGGTTCCCAGAGGGAACGAGACGCTGCGTCGAGTCGCTTTGGGAACGCCCTTGCGTGATTGCGTTCTGAAGCACGTGTCAAATCCATCCAATGGAGCAGTGAGACGTCACGAGCAGGGTGACTTTCTGTTAATGTTGACATAGTTCTTTCAGAGGCATTTTTTTGAAGTTCCTGTTGTTATATTCTCTGTGACTGTGTTACAGGTGTGTGACACAGGAGACAAGATGGTGGAGTGTCAGCTGGAGACTCATAACCATAAGATGGTGACGTTTAAATTTGACCTTGATGGAGATGCTCCAGAGGAGATTGCCACATATATGGTGAGATCTTCACCTCTACTTTCTCTCTCCCTCCCCATATGCCCTTCTCTTCTTCTGACAAACTCCCAGAGGTGATGCGTTTCAAGCTCCTGTACTAAAGTTTATGGATGCTATTTTTCTTAATGTAAACGTGTGGTAGGATTTGGAGTAGGAATGGGAAAAACATTTTTCTAATCTGTAAAACTAAACATGCAGTAACATCTGATTATTTCATTATTATAACCATATAAATAAATTTCATTAAAAAAACTTAAATGAACTCAAATAATAGACTCTAAATTCTGTGTGGCTATTAAGCTGCTATATCCAGAACATGTTTTATTAATGTGTAAGATTGCAACATTGCTTGGCAGACCTGAACTAACTCCACTTTGTGTCTGGAAAAAATACTCAGCAACAGCACAAGATATACAATTCTTATTTATTTTTTTAATCATAAATGTACAATTATGTGGTTGGTAGCATTGCATTATTTGTATGTGGCAAATAACACATCTGTTTTTGTCCTGCAGTCTGTGTGTCAGAACACAACCATTTTTGGAGAACCACTGCATTAATGCTTTATTGTCATGTTCAGACAGTGTTCCTCATATACAGCTCATTGAATCTTAATTGGTAGATGGCGTACTGTATCTGCTTGTCCTGGATAGATGAGTGGGCTCAAAGTGCTGGTTCTTGTTGATGTTCCTCCAGGTTGAGAATGAGTTTATTCTGTTGCTGGAGAGGGAGATTTTCATCGAGCAGCTGAAGGAGATCATGGATAAAGCCGAGGACATTCTGAATGAGGATGCTGAGGGTGAGAAGGCCTCTGTCCAGACCTCACCGCTCTGTCAGACGCCTGTCACAGCAGACTTCGGCCCGCAGGTCAGGCCCAGTGCTTACTTAATACAGACATGCTTTAGATGGAAATGCACCAGCTATCGTGTTCTTGAGTATGGACACACAGGATACAGTGGAGCTGAAGTCACACCTTAAGGAAATGTGCTTTCCTCATAGTGCATGATTGCAGAAAATATCAGGGTTTTCCATCTCGATTCGATATCAATTCATGTGTATATACTGTATACTGTAAATATAAGGGGATACAAATATTTTGTTGAATCCCTTTTTTAGCACCATTTTAAACTTGGCTTAAATTCAGTATTTGCTTGCATTCGTTGTGTGTAATTATGCGAGTATCATTAAAAAAAAAAGATGTAAGTTATTAACTTTTTAAATTTCTCATTTAAAAATCTAGTGTCTAAATATTTATTCAAATGAAGAACTTAAAAATAAGTAAGCAGGTATGACCTGCAATATTCTAGATATATTTAATAAAGAGCCATACAGGTAAGCCATACATTAAAAGTAAGCAATACCTGAGGGTTAAGAAAACCATACTAATGTTGCCTCTCCATCACTCTCCAGAATAAAATTAATACTGTAAATGTCATCGGCCACGGACTGGATTCGTGACAGATGTAATAATCCATGCATAATATGCTGTAATTTTTACCCAAAATTGCTGCAAATACCTGTATAATGAAACTGTCGTCTATCCTACTTAAACCCATTCAAGTGTATTGTCACCACTGATCTATATATAATGACTCTATTATAGACCAGTTATTGTCAACCCTGGTTTGTTTGGAGTGCTCCATGATCCACGTGACCTTGCAGCGATGCCAGCGAGATCAAAGCTTGTCGCAACTCTTGTCGCAACTCAATGGCACTGGCTTTAACTGAAGCGCTACATTTTACGATTTACACCACATTAAGTGCACCAAAATGGTATATATTGTTTGAATTTAGTATTAAAACGTATAAAATTTGAAAGCTGAGACTTTTTCATATCGCAAGCAGGGATATCAAGAGCCTGGAAGCGTGTGTCAGCGTTAGCAACTCTGAAATATATGTTTTTATTGATAATTGGAGCAACACATTTTGTGTGAAAATAAATAAAAAATAAATCATAAATGGTGTTTTTTAAAAACAAAAATCATATAAATGCATAAGGTATTTTACCTACATAATACTTTCATTTAGCCCCAACAGCAGGAGCGGAGTTTCCCCAATATAATACTTTTACATATTCTTCAGTTATTGAAAAACTGTTGATTTAATTACCTTGAACAAAACTGCAAACCATTAAAGTCTATGTAAAGTCTATTCTGAAAATAGTTTCTAAACACATTATAAATGTTAGAAATGCATTGCTGAAACAGGATTTTTTGGGTGGGGCTAAAATCATGACTCGATGCAATGGAGCCACTGAGCATGGCCCCTCCCCACGTCTATAAGGGGTGTGTTCGACTTGAAGCAGCGCTGTGCAGACCGATCATTGTAGGACATCAAAGTACAGTGAGAGCTGTAGAGAGCAGACGGCTCATTATGCTTTCGAATCATTCTCACGGTACTTTGTCATACAATGATTGGTCTGTGTAGCGCTGCTTCAAGTCGAACACACCTAATAACTAGTGCATTAGCATCAGTGGTTCACCCGCTAAATAGCGAGCTACTAACTTTATCGTTAGTTACTACAACCTACAGTTTGCTAGCTAGCTATACCTTCGTTGCGTAAATGCATTATTTCCTAGTTGCGATCATTTACAAAACATCTCGATCTCCTTATTTAAATTAAGCTGCTAGAGGGAGCATCCATTGGTGTTGTAGCGGTTTTACTGGGTCTGTGCGCGCAACATGTGGGCGGGCAATATGCTAATGTTTCATGTTGACTTCAACATGAAACGGCTTGGGATTCATTTAAAAGGATAGTTCACCCAAAAAAGAAAATTTGATGTTTATCTGCTTACCCCCAGGGCATCCAAGATGTAGGTGACTTTGTTTCTTTGTTTTCTTTGACTTTGTGAGAGTAAAAAAAACATGCACAGACAAATCCAAATTAAACCCTGCGGCTCGTGACGACACATTGATGTCCTAAGACACGAAACGATCGGTTTGTGCCAGAAACCAAACAGTATTTATATCATTTTTTACCTCTAATACACCACTATGTCCAACTGTCTTTGAGCGCGCGCAGGCATCCGG